TCTAACCTTTATACTATAGTAGACAAAGTGCTAGTCAATAGGTCTTTTATTTTAAGAACTACCTTCCCTATGTAACTTGATTTATGCCACTATTAGAACCTCTACTTGGAATATTATTGCTTCTTAATTTTTGACTCATGTACTTTTAACTTGTTAGTTAAATTTGTGTCTTCTAGGCTGCAACAGTTCCATGATACATCTTCAAGGATATAAACATGTACGCCTAAGCACAATTGATAACAGTGCATCTAAATTCCAAAATCAATCTCCACAATAGTCTAAAGGGGCCCTTTAGAGTAGTGAGAGAAGATCTTCACCCTGAAACCTATAGTGTCCCTTTTCAGCAGGAGTTAGCTAGGGGAATACGCTGTCCCCTTCTTCTTATGAATCAGGGTGAAGTCTCTCTCAGGGAGGAGTGATAGGGAATGGCAAAAGACAAGCTGACAAAGGAAATTAATCAGAACTGGCTTCGACAAGCACTGTGGCAATTGGACAATTAAAACAGACTTTCTTTTTTTATTATTATTTTCAATTTTATTAATTTTAATAAAACAGACTTTCGGGGTGGGAAAGAGGAACGAACTGGGGGGGAGGGTAGAGAAAATAGTGCAACAATGAATGGAAACCCAAAATATCTGTAAATGTTCATTAAAATTGATAAAACTTAATAAAAAAAAAGAGTGGACACCTAGATATATAATACTCAGAGGACATGCACCCCTCCTAAGAAGGGAACACAACAAAATGTGCTGGACATATATATAATGGATTTTTAACCATCACTATTTTTAATAATCCCTTATGCTTCACGGCAATCCTGTAGGAGAGTCCAGAACTTCCCCATAAGCTTTCCTTCTTTGTCCAGCACAGTAGTAGGTAAGTTCGAATCACCAATCTTCTGGTTAGCCAAGTGCTTAATCACTGCACTACCATGGCTCCTTAGTGGATTGTTACTCAACCATAAAGAGTAACGAAGTCCTTGCACATACTGTGATATGGGTAAACCTTGAAAATATATTAACTAAAAAAAGTTGGTCACAAAAAGACAAATACTGTATAATCCTACTTTATGAACTATCTAGAATAGGTAAATAAGTGCACATGGACCTACACAAATTACAAAGAGCGGACTGAAGAGAGAAAGAAGAGTGTGCATTGCTTGTGTATGGGATAGTGAGTTTCTACTAAACTGAAACCCCAATTCACTGCTACTGAGTGTTCCATCTCAGCGACCCATTGTTGTGGTTGTGTACCATAGAGTTGGAATCAACCCATAGCTGACCCTCCAGCAGGTTTTCAGAGGCAGTTAATCGCATGGGAGGAGATTTCCCATCGCATAGGACAGAGTAAAATTGCCTCCTAGGATTTCCCAAACTGTCTTTCTAGAATTTGATCGTCATATCTTTCTCCCATGGAGCTGTTAGTGGATTCAAACTTCCCACCTTTAGGTTGGCAGCTGAGTGCTTTAACAGCTTTTATGGAAAGATTTGGAAAAGGATAATGGTGATGGTTTGCATCACATGACAAACATAATGTCAATGACTTATACATGTGAAGACTATTGAAATGGGACCTGTTTCATTACCTACCTATTTACTGTAATTGGGGGTGGGGGAAGGAGCACAGAAAATTGAAAAACAAAAACCAGGACATATGCCCCTTTCTTACATCGTCCACCCCTCCCTACTCCGGCTCTGGAGAAAGTGGAATGGGGTGGGGAGTACAATGTGCAGTGCATGCAGTGACCTGGTGTGGGTCCCAAACACTGCGGGGGGGCGGGGCATCGTCTCAGACGGGAGATAAACAGCATGGTCATATCGACCAATAGTCTTTAAAACAGGCACACCACCCACCTCAGCAGATCAATTTCTAGGAATTATCTAAGGAAATAATTAGAAGTATGGAGAAAGATGTACATTGTTAAGATGTTTGTTTGCCTTATAGGAAAAGAGTTTCCCCACATCCTGAAAACCCATATTATGTTAAAAAAATCACCTGTTAGTGCAATAATGGATAATATTTTATTAACAAAATATTGGTTATTTACTTTGCAATATTTATCCAAAAAACCCCAAACCAAATAAATTCAAGCTCTTTGTCTTGGCCTTCAAACTCATAGCTGACCTTCTGTTAGGTTTTCAATGCTGTGAATAGCACAGGAATAGATCAAGCCTGTTTCTCCTTTGGATTCACACTATCAGAGATGCTTGGCCATTGGGTTAGCAGTGTAACTGCTTACAGACTACACACCAGAGTTCCACTTTTGCAGTATAAGAAGGAGCTCTGCTGGTGGCCTGGTGGTAAGAAGATATGCTGCAATCTCAAAGGCAGGTGGTTTGAATCCACCAGCTGTTCTGCAAGAGAAGGATGGGCAATCTCGTGTGCGATTTACTGCCTCTGAAGACTTGCTGGTGGGTCAGCTGTGGGTCAGTTCTGACTCGACAGCCCATGACAAAAACAATACAAAGTAATAAGTAAAAGGGAGCTTGGGTGGCCTAATGAGCAATGAGTTGTGTGACCAATCCCAAAGCAGGCAGTTCAAAAGCACCCATTGCTCAGGAGAAAGAGGAGGAATCTCTCCAGTGTGATTTATAGCATCTAATAAAAACCCTCCAGAGGTAGTAAGGTAAGCAATTAAAACTCAATAGCAGCTCTGTCAAAGACAGAGCTGGCAATCTGTTTCTGTGACAATCACAGTGAAGTGAGGAGGGTAACAAAGGGACATAGTCTCAGAGGTTCCACTGGGGACAAAACTCACCTTAGTGGTTCGACTCTCAGGCAAACAAAAGGTAGGCTTACAAGGTGACACCAGAGAGGTACTAACTTCGTAGCATAACCAAGTATATAAGATCAAAAGAGCAACATTGAGTGAACTCAGTCTCATAAGGACAAATACTACATAAGACCATTATTGTAAAAATAGGATGAGTAGCAGGATGTGTGTACAAGGGTCCACAGGGGAAAGGGGGTGACAACGGGACTGAAGATATAGAGGGGGGAATCATGGGTTGCAAAGTTTGGTGGGTGGAAGGAAGAGATGAAGAAATCAGGAAAGATCCAGTGAAACGGGAAAAGAGAGGATAATAGTGGGAATAGATTGATGGTGATTGATTTTATAAAATAAACCATATGAAGGAATGTGTGAAATCCAATGTGTATGAACAAAACCAATGTACACGAATTTTGTATGCAAACCAATAGAAAACGAAAAAGAAATTTAAAGGAAAAAAGAGCAGCATTTACCCAAGGATAAAACCCATAGACAGGAAGGGACAAGGTTGAGGACTAATGGAAATGAGAATTACAGGGTAAAGGGGGAAAGTATGACTATTGCATTGCTGTGTTGTTGTTATGTGCTGTAGAGTCGCCTGCGACTGATAGTCACCCTCTATACAACAGCTTTGAACCCTGCTCTATTCTGAGCCAACCTCATTGTCTCTGACACACCTACCCCTATTAACCCAGTAACTGAGTCAATCCATCACATCAAGGGTCTTCCCCTCCTGTGCTGTCGTTCTACCCTTCCAAGCATGATGTTTCTCTCCAAGGACTGGTCCTTTCTTGAAACATGCCTGAGGTATGTTAGACAGAGTTTCAAAATCCTTGCCTCCAAGGAACACCCTGGTTGTACCCTCTCCAGGACGAGCTTGTTTGTTCTCCTAATACTCCAATACCACAGCTCAAAGGCATCAATTCTCTTTCTATCATCCCTAGTCATTGTCCAGCTTTCTGATGCATAGCAAGTTATTACAAAGACCATGGCCTGGATCGAGTGCACCTTAGTCTCCAGACTGACAGCATTACTCTTCAGTACTCTAGAGAGGTCCTAACAGCAGACTTTCATTCTTACTGCACTTTATCCTTTGATTTTCTGGCTGTTGGTACCAAAAAGTGTATCACATTATGAGTGTAATTAACTACAATTCGTTAATGTTATAAAAGAAAATGAGTGTTGAATGAAATGTGTGTTGAATGTTTGAATGAAAAACCTATACGCTGTTCAAACGTATTCAAATCATAATAAAAAATTTTACAAAACAGTATGATCAGAATAAAAGCGGGAATGAGAGGGAGCAGGAATCACATTCTAGAAAGCCCTGTGGACCAGATCTGCTCTGTTACATGAGCTCACTCAGTTGGAATCGACTGAATGACACCTAACAACCTAACAACAACAGCATAACACACAGGATCATTTGAAATAAAGAAAAAGAGCTGTGTAAAGCTAGGCATTATACAGTGTTGAGGCCACAGTGTTCTGATTTGTCTTGCTGTGAAAAAAACTACTCCAAGTTCTGTGCATACAACAACCACTATTTTATTATGCTCATGGATTTTCTGGGTTATGATGTCTGATGCTTTGGCTGAAAAATCAAAGGATGGTGTGTTTCAAACACATAGGACCTGCAATCACTCGAAGGCTTCGTCAGGTTGGAACATGACTGGCATCTGGCAGGCATGGTTGGCTAGCTGGGCTCGACCATTTAGCAGAGCATCTGTGTATGGACGGACCTTGTGGACTGGGATTCTCAAAGCAATGAGCTCCCACAGGGAAGTATCCCCAGAGCAGTATTAAGAGAAAGCCATAAAATCACTATTTGCCCTTTATGACAGAATCTTGGGAGCAAACGACATACTCCTGCCTTACTTTACTGGTGGAAACAGTTACAGACTTACTTGGAAGGAGACATGGACCCCACTTCTCATGGAAGAAATGTCAAGGTTTTAGAGGCTGGTCTAAAACTCATAAACTTAATGTTTAACAAAATTGGAATAAAGTCACAGTCAGGTCAATTCAAATGACATCTTGTTTTTGAGATGATTGATCTTGTTACGTACCATTGAGTTGATTACAATTCACAGCCATCTGATGACCAGACGATCAAAACCTTGCCCTATCCTGTGTCACTTTCACAATTTAAGTCATTGTTCCGTCATTCCTATTGTTGTAGTCTATTGTGTCTGTCAGCTTAATGATTAATACACTCACTATCCCTTAGTTACATGCCAAACACAAGACTGTGCACTGGGCATCTAAAGAGGAAGAAGTTTTGGCTTCTACTGGTTGAGACAGGAACATAAACAAATTGCTGTAAATGCTGTGAAGTAAGCCTCGATGGGCACCCAAAGGAGGAGTGACTATCTGTTCTAGGAAGCAAGAACTGGTGAGTGGGGCTGGTTTTATTTCCTCCTGAAGAAATAAGTGACTGCAATTATTTCTCTAGCTGCTTTAACCGTGAGCATATGGTTCACAGAGTGACTGCTTTCATGCAAAGGTGCCATAAGACCTGAACACTACAACGCAGTTCCAAGCCAAACAGTAGCAAGTCTGATAGAGATGAATAGAATCATCTGGCAAAAAAAATGATCTGGATACACATTGTCTTCACAATACACAGTAAAACACAGAAAGCTGCTTACCATGTAGTTGCAACAGTTATCGGCTGTTAATTTCATGTGTACATTGTTGTGAGCCATCAAGTTGGAACTAAGTCATAGCTGACCCTCCAGCAGGTTTTCAGAGATAATTTAATCGTGCAGGAGGAGATTTCCTATTCTCCCACATGGATTTGAACTGAGTGCTTTGTGGATTGCAGTGCAGTTTCTCATCAGGTGTTGTAAACTTTTAACACACTTAAATAAATATTAAGGTTGATGGTTGATGTTCTCCTTGAGGTGCCTTGAAAAAAAGACCTAATGATTTTACTCCATGTCTGAAAACTCAGCCATGGAAAGAGTCACTAAAACCTATAGCAAGCACAGTTCTACTCTGACATACACAGGGTCACCAGGAGTTGAAATTGTCTCAGTGAGAACTATCTTGTTAACTAAGCACCACAGTCATCCCTCTGGGTTACCCTTTGCAGCTGGGTGAAAGACAAAGGAAAGCCATACACCAAAGGTATATTTCTAGACATTATAAATCAAGTCAATAAATGGCTTAGTAATATATATTGAATCGTATTTTGAGGGTGCTCTGGCGACCCACTCCATAGAGGAGTGCTGCTAACCCAAAGGCTGCACCTCTCTGGCAGAAGTTCGAATCCACCATAGCACCACAGGAGAAAAATAGGCAATCTCCTTCTGTGCAAATTAAAGGCTCAGAACCCCAGAGGAGGTTCAAGTATGAATGAGTTGGTTCCAACTTGAAGGCAATGAATTGAGTATGCTATTTTGATAAATATATCCTCTTAAGAGTCTTAGTAATGAAGTTTGCAATTAGAATCTAAGATTCCTCAGAGCATATTTTACCTAAAAGGGACAGAACACATCCATGGCACCTCTTACCTTTGTCAGCCCACCCCTAGCAGCTTCCCCATAAACGTGGACATCCCTCTCTGCATGTCCAGACTCTGTCCACACCCCTTGCAAATAGCTTCCCCAGACTTCCCTTGAGCTCAGGGATGCAAATACCCACGCGGGGGGTGGGGGGCCAACCCTAGGAGGATGTCCCATGGCAGGGACAATTTTATTAGTAGTTACTGTCATTGTGATTAGTTGGTGTTGACTATGACTCAAAGTGAGCCCATGAACAACATGCCCTATCCTGCAGCTTCCTCTCCACCTCTTCTATGCTGCAGCCTAGTCACTGTCTCAATCCATGGTGTCGAGGATCATCCTCTTTCTCTTAGCCTCCACACTTTTACAGCATATGACAGATGTCCTTTTCCAAGGACTGGCCCCTCCTGACAACATGCCCAAATTATGTGAGATGAAGTTTTACCATTCATCGCTCTAAGGAGCACCTTGTTCTCTGGCAGTATATGGGCTCTTCAGTTCTCGTCTACAATGCCACAGTTCAAAGCAATCAATTATTCTTGTCATCATTATTCATGGTCGGACTTTCACATACATAGGAAACAACTTAAAGGCTCATTGCTTGGATCAGGTGTGCCTAAATATTTAAAACTGACATCCTTGTTCTTTAGCACTTTGGAGAAGTCCTTAACAGCAGATTTTTCCCAATGCAAATATTTGATTTCTTGACTCTTTCTACCATAGGTGTTGATTATGGTGGATCCAAGTAAGATAAAATTGTTGAAAAATTCAATCTTTATCTATCATAATGTTGCCTATTGGTCTGGTGGTGAAGATTCCCCCCACCCCTTGATGCTGAGATGCTCTTCTGCAGCAAGCCTGTCCAATTGCTTTTACTTTCGGCAGGAAGGTTGTATCATCTGAATAATGCAGGTTGTTGATGAGTCTTCCTCCAAACCTGATGTCATGTTCTTCTTCATATAGTCCAGATTCTCAGCACTACAGATAACTTCTCATCCTCCTTTGATCTTAGGCTAAGTCAACAAGTCATGCTGTGGTCATGTGTTGGTCTCTCCTCCCAGTAAGAGTTTCACTTTCTGCTGCTGAATCTGCTCAGTTAATGACCGCACTAGTGAATTCTCTTGGGGGTAACCAACATGCCCCATTTACATGAGTAAGACGTGGCTCAGGTAGCTGTTGATATAGGGCATCACAGGTTTGCCACGCAGGCTGAGTTGAGGCATGTGGATCAGAGCCAGCTGTTGTTAGATTCTGCTGAGTCAAGTATGACTCATAATGACCTTATTGATTGATAGGCATTAGAATCACAGAAAGGAAGCAGAAAGCTGCTGTACTATTGTTGTTTTTAGGTGCCCTCGAGTCAATTACAACCCATAGCAACCCTATGAACAACAGGTCTTAACCCTGTCCTGTCCTGTGCTATCCTCACAATCTCTGACACACGCAAGCCCATTCAGTCACTGTGTCAAAACACCTGGTTGAAGGTGTTCCTCTCCTTTGTCTTTCTGAGCATCATGTCCCTCTCAAGGAATAGCCTCTCCTAGCAACATGCCTGAAGTATGTGAAAGGAAGCTTTATCATCTTTGCCTCTATGGAGGACTTTACCTTCTCAAAGATATTTTGGTTTGTTCTTTCAGTAGCCAGTAGGGATATTCAATACTTCTCCAACATCAAAATTCAAATACATCAATTTCTCTTCTGTTATTCTTTTTCATTGTCTAGCTCTCAGAGGCATTCCAAGTGGCCTGTATCAGGCACACCTTAGTCATCAAACTAATATCATTTCTCCTCAAAAAATTGAGAGAGGTCCCTGACTACAGACTTTCCCAGTGCCGTAAGTTTCCTGATCTCCTGGCTGTTGGTACCAAGTGTATTGATTGTGGATCCAAGTAAGATAAAGTCATTGACAGTTTCAATATTTTCTCTATCTATCATGATATTGTCTGTTGCCCCAGTGGTGAGAATTTTTGTTTTCTTGATGTTGAGACATAATGCATATTGAAAGCTACAGTGATTAATCTTCTGCACCAAGTATTTCAAGTTTTCCTCACTTTAATCAAGAAGGGTTGTACCATCTGCATAACAAAACATTATTGATAACACCGCTCCAGCCATTTTTAAGGATTCTCCCCCAAGCTTTTCAACTTCTCAAATAATTTGTTGTATTTTTGCCCAATTAGGTAATCCCACTTCTGAGTCTATTGCTGCTAAATTCTTCCTTCTAGATTTTGCAGGTTCATCTCCCTCATGGTTGGATAATAACACTTTGGATAACATCTGATGAAACCTCCTTCTGTGCTCATGCATTTGTAGGGTACCAAATGGGGTGGAGGGGGTGGGACAGGTAAGGTGGGAATGAGATCAGGGAGCTTCCTCTCTCTGTAATGCTGTCTCTGAGAAGTTCCTTTTTCCTGCTCATACAGGTTTAGATAAACAAATGTTCAGGGAATGAGTTGTTTGTGTCTCCTTGCGCAGTCTAGACACAATGATTCTTTTGGGTTCAGGGCCAAGAGAGTGCTCTCTCCACTAGTTCAGAAGTTCTCTGGCTAGTGACCAAATTGTGGTCTGGTCTGAGGAAGCGTAGTCCTGTGGAATTTGGTTTGAATCAGGTCTTTGAACTGGTCATTCCAGTTTGACTTCTTCTAGGGAGTGGTAAGAAGCTGCGCTGCAATCCCAAAGGCAAGAGGTTGGAATCCACTGCTTGCTCCATGGGAGAAGGATAGGTAATCTCCTTCCTTGCAATTAACTCCCCCTGGAAACACACTAAAAGGTCAGTTGTGGTTTGGTTCTGACTGAAAGATACTCAACAATTGTTGTTAGGTGCCACTGAGTTGAGTATGACTCATAGTGACCCTACAAACAAAGAGCTGAAACTAGTCCTGCCCTGCGCCATCCTCACACTTCCTGACACTCAAGAGCCCATTTCCATCTGGTTGAGGGTCTTCCTCTTCTTCTTCACCAGACCTCCACCCTTCCCAACATCCTGTCCCTTTACAAGGAATAGCACCTCCTAGCAATATGTCCAAAGTATGTGAGGTGAAGCCTCATTATTCTTGCCTCCAAAGACCACTCTGGCTGCACCCTCTCCAAGACATGTCTATTTGTTTTCTTGACCATCCGTGGGATATTCAGTGCTCTTCTCCAATACCACAGTTCAAAGGCATCCGTTCTTTTTCTGTCATCCTTATTCATTGTCCAGGTCTTGGATGCATAGCTAGAAAACAGAAAGAACATGGCCTGAATCAGACGCACCTTAGTCCTCAAACTGACATCACTACTCCTCAATAATTTGGAAAGGTCCCTAACTGCAGATTTCCCCATTGCAATGCATCTCCTTGTTTCCCGACAGCTAATACCAAGGGTGATAATTGTGAATCCAAGCAAGATGAAGCTGTTGACAGTTTCCATTTCCTCTCCATTCTTCATGTCACTGTCCATCAGACCAGTGGTAAGACTCTTTGTTTTCTTGATATTGAGACACATTCCATACTGAAGGCTGCATTCTTTGTTCTTCTGCAACAAGTGCTTCAACTCCTCACTTTCAGCAAGTAAGGTTGTGTTATCTGCATGAGTCTCCCTCCAATCCTGATGCCATATTCCTCTTCATAGAGTCCAGCTTCTCAGATGATTTGCTCAGCATATAGGTTGAACAGGTATGGAGACAGAATACATCCCTGATGCACTCCTTCCCAGCTACAAACCATGCAGTGCTCCCCTGCTCCATCTGCACAAAAGCCTCCTGCTCCGGGTATTGGTTTCTCATGAGCACAATCAAGTGCTCTGAGATTCC